TTTTTCGACTCTTACCTCTTCAAACCGTGATCTCGAATGGCATACTGCGCAGCAATTGCAACATTATTGAAAATGCAAAAGCCGTGTGGCACATCAGATTCGGCATGATGACCTGGCGGCCGCACAATGCAGACACCACTGCGCGCATCGCCACGCAGCACTTTGTCGATCACTTGCAGCACTGAGCCCGCTGCCAGTGTGGCACAATCGAAAGTCTTCGGGTGAAAGTAAACTGAATTGTACTTCTCGCCCATTCCCTGCAGTTCATCTTTGTCACTTATGCGCCGTATAAAATTCACATGCGCACGCGTATGCGCCAGGCAAATCTCATCTGTTGTTGCTGCTCGTGTTGGCAATTGTTCCATGCGTTCTGTGAGCTTGTAGTCTTTATGCATTTCATAAATGCGTTTAATGCGTGCTGGCTGTTCTGGATGGCCGTCTTCAAAAGAGTTGCAATGCTGCAGCATAAGCTCATCGTAGACGTAGCATACGCGTATTTTCGGTGCCAACAATTTTGTTTCTAAATTAATGAAGCAGATATTAAATTTGTTTGCTTTAAAGTATGCTTACTTTTTGGCAAATAAATACCATTTTTAAGAAATCTTAAACGTTTCTCATTTTGTGCCACAACTTCGGGTTGTGTTACCGGCGCTGTGCCTCTGGTTGGGAAACGTTCTGGCAGAGGTTTGCCGCCAATGAATAGTCGACTAACTTTGTGCAACTTTGGCTGGGGATTCACATTATTCAGCTCCTCCATGGTATATACTGGCTGAATTTGCAGACAACGCCAGTATGGACGGTGCGCATAAATGCAATTGAGTATTGTGTCTTGTATAACTTCGCTTGGTGGCTCCAACTTCTCCACCAGTGTAGGGCAGGTGCCACCCAACAATGTACGCAGCGTGAGTGCTGCACCCTCCGATAACGAATCAAGGCAGTAGCCACCTTCCAAGACGACGGCGACACGTGATTGAGCTAACTTCATTACAGAATTCAGCATATGAGCATAGAATGCGGGTGTGACCTCCATTTCGCCTTCGGGACAGCCCAAGGCTGCATCATAACCCGCCGATATAATAATCAATTCTGGTTGATATTCTATGGCCACGGGTATTAATAATTGTTGGAAAATGGCCAAGTAATCGCCATTGCCCATTTTAGTTTTATTCAATGGTACATTAAAATTGTAACCCATGCCGTTGCCGTAGCCGATGGCATCAAAATCGGATTCCTTAAGATTAGGCCAGAAGGTGCCATGTTCAAAGCGATGAATGGAAAAGTAAAGAACCCTAAAATTAGGCAACAGAAATGGGCCTTATTTCGAAAGCGATTTATAAAGTTAGTTTTAGTCACCTAGGATCATTGTAGAAGAAACGCTGTGTGCCTTGTCCGTGATGTATGTCCCAATCCACAATCATTATTTTACTTAACTTCAAAATGTCCAAAGCGTATTGCGTTGCAATTGCCACATTGTTGAAGAAACAGTAACTGGGGAATATACACACACATATATACAGCGTTGAGTGCTTTCGAAACAAACAAGTACAAGTAAGTGAATTGACAAGTACCCATTGAATTCAGCTTTCATCGCATGATGACCCGGTGGTCGAATAATAGCTATGCCATTCTGCACATTACCGGAAATTATGTTCTCAATTAAATCAATGGTGCAACCTGTGGCCAATAGAGACAATTCAAATGTGGACTGAAGGGGTAGCAAAGTAAAATAATTATTATTCTTATACTAATTGCTACTCATTGTAATACAAACCGGATGTAAGTAAATTGAATCGAATTTCGAGCTCAGATCTTCCATTGCCGTTTCATCTTGCACACCCGAAGTCTGCTGTAGAAGTTCATAGTGGTCGGAGCTATGCAGTAGAAGTACTTCGTCTTTTGTAGCACGGCGTGATGGAATTTTCTTACACTGGTCAATTAGTTGCAGTTCTTTGCATCTAGGTTTTATAAGAAAAAAAAAACATGAAAACGTATTAAGCCTTTAATGGATTTGAAATTTTTTGTCCTATACCAAGACTTTAATGTTAAATGCATGAAGCAATTTAAATTTTTCTAGGATGGAGATGTTCCACTAAAACCATACTGGTATTCGCTATCTTTATACCAAGATAACGTTGAAAGGGCAATTATCAATACCGTTATCGCCAAAATACATTTTTTT